CCAACATCCCACCACATGACATACATTGCAGTGGCCATACCGTATAATTTCCATCTCTCATGGACTAATTATGCTGACAGGAGAACACATTCCCATTGGCATAGCATGTCTTCACCAGATGCACTACAGTGGCACAGCTGCGCCGTTATTGCTCAGGAATGTAGGCCTGTCCCTAGCAAGGTATAGTGTGTGTTTCTTGTGACTCAACTTGGAGCTAACGTCTCTTTCCTCAGTAAGTCTTGTGTGGTTTCTAAGAGCTTCGTCATCCGTGGCTGTTGGAGCTGTCTCTTGTGCAGCTGTTCAGCTGTATTGCTGGATCCTTATGCCTCTCAGCTCTCCTTAGCCAGTCCTCAAAATAGCTGGGTTAAAAATTTCCAAGACTTAAAACTCGAGCCTTAGCAGTAAATAAACACTTCACATGACTGTAGATGCCCAGTATCCAATGTATCACTATATCATTACTAGAGCAAGGCAGAGACAAATGGGGAAAGGAAAAAAGTGACCCTAGGTGACAGGCAGATACACAGGAAGAAATCCATCCCAGACATCAGCTAGTCACATTACAATTCCTGGTAAAGTTTTCAGATTAAATTGTGTCCAATATATTAATACATGGATTCTCCTATAGTTAGGCATCTGTAGCTAGGTGTAAATCCATTGCTTCCTGATTGGTTATGATTTTGCTTTAGGATGATGGTTGTTGTTACCAGCATACACCATAGGGACCATTTTTAAAATGCTGAATGGTCCCCAATTTCCAGCAACAAAATGTCAGTATCCTCTAATATCCATTAAATAATAGCCTCTTAATAATCAGTCGGAAAATTACAAACCATTCACTTACTCATCTCTGACTTGTAAGAAGAGTTAGAAGAACTCCAATATTTTAAAATTATCGCATATTGAAGCAATACGTTCTAAAGTACAAGTGCTAACCAGTATTCTCTCTAAGGCTGTGTCTAAACTGCAGGCTTCCTTCGGAAAAGCTTTTCTGGAAGAGATCTTCCAAAAAAACTTCTTCCGAAAGAGAGCGTCCACACTGCAAAAGCACATAGAAAAAGCGATCTGCTTTTTTGAAAGATAGTGTCCACACTGCCATTATCTTGCATTTAAACTGTGATTACTATAGATGGAATGGCCACCAGGCACCTGCGCTTTTTCCTCTTCTTTTGAGAGGACTCCCTCTTCCCCATCCACACATGCCTTTTTCCAAAACATCTCTTTCAGAAAAAGGCTTCTTCCTCATAGAAAGAGGATTACCAATGTCGGAAAAACCCCTTTGTTCTTTTGATTTTTTTTTTTCAAAAGTATGCAATTGCAATGTAGACGTAACTGGATTTTTTTTTTCAGAAAAACAGCAGTTTTTCAAAAAAAACTCTGCAGTGTAGACATACCCTAAGTTGCATGGGAGCACAGCTTCATGGGTGATGATCAACGCCGCCCAATCAGTCATCTCCATGCAAGGAGCCCTGAGCCTCTGACTGGGTGGGCCTGATTAATTACGTGTGAAGCTGCACTGCCGCCCAGCTTAGAGGGAACACTGGGGCTAACACAAAGGCTGTGTCTAGACTGGCCACTTTTTCCGGAAAATCAGCCGCTTTTCTGGAAAAACTTGCCTGCTGTCTATACTGGCCGCTTGAATTTCTGGAAAAGCACTGATGATCTCATGTAAGATCGTCAGTGATTTTCCGGAAATACTATGCTGCTCCCATTCGGGCAAAAGTCTTTTTCCCAAAGACTTTTGCGCAAAAGGGCCAGTGTAGACAGCACAGTACTGTTTTCCGCAAAAAAGCCCCGATCGCGAAAATGGTGATCAGGTCTTTTTTGCAGAAAAGCGTGTCTAGATTGGCCACGGACACTTTTCCAGAAAAAGTGCTTTTTCCGGAAAAGCGTCCTGCCAATCTAGACGCGCTTTTCCGAAATTGCTTTTAATGGAAAACTTTTCCGTTAAAAGCATTTCCGGAAAATCATGCCAGTGTAGACGTAGCCAAGAGGGCAGAAGCCACATGAGCTCTGAGGAATTAGTGCTCTATTTCCTAATCCTTCTCTTCATAGATCAAGGGGGTAATCATTGTAACCATCTAGCTATATCCATAGTCATGCTAGCCATAGCTTTGAATGACCCTTCCATTGAAAATAAACCAGTCTATGAACTAAAGGAAAGCTGTAGATAACATGGAACTGTGTTTCCAGGACTGTGGAAACTCTGAAAGATTCCTTTGGAAAAAATCAACGTTGTGAATTGTAGTTCTGACACAGGAGAGGCAGAACCACCATTGACACTCTCCCTGCACTTCCTGTCAGTATATGTTTGCCTTAGAGGGTCACTGTGACCCTCCACACAGCCTCTGGCCCTTTACTAGAGGCCAAGGTCACAGCCTACTGAGCTATCCACATAATAAGATAGTCCATAGTTTGGGGGGAAATCCCTTTGTAGCCCTGGTCGCCTCCTCTCAGGGGCAAAGTCTATAGTATCATGGGGAGGTTTGGCGGGACCCCGGGCCTACCCACTACTCCAGGTTCTGGCCTAGAGACCCTTAGGCAGTGGCAACTGGCAGCGTTCCCTCTTCTCCCAGTCTTGTAGTCTTTCCCTGGGCCACTTCCCCGAATGATCCCTCCCGGTACTTTATCTAGTACCTACACAATACTTCCTGCTACTCCACCACCAGTCCCTAGCTCTCTGTGCACCTCCTCTCGCTCAGTCCTTGGCTTCTGCCTGCCCTTCCTGAGGGGAAGCTTTTTAAACTTACACTGACAGGCCTTAATGGCCTGCAGGAGCCCTGATTAGTCTCTCAGGCAAGCTCTTAATTGGCCCCAGGTGCCTGCCTGCCTTGATTACTTGACAGCAGTGGCTGGCCAGTGCACTCAGGGATCAGAAAACTATTAGCCCATTTTCCTGTATATTTGGCCTCCACCAAGCTAGTATAGCCAGCTGCCTTCGGTCTGTCACAATGCACAGTTACAATTTGTGTTTTCTGTATCCAGAAATGGACAGAACTACCATAACTACATATGCTGCTTGTATATGAATGCAGAGTCCTAGAGATACATGTATATGGCAGTGCTGCCTAGTCAGTGCTAGTTCTGCCCATTTCTGGATATGGACAACACACACTAATGCATCTTTTGGGGGACCCCCAATCATGTGCATTGTTGTTTTTGTCAAGGTTTGTCTGAGGTGCTTAAGCTAGATAAAACAAAAGGAAGGTTAAGTTTCAGGGAAACTGGAGGCTTGCAAGTTAATTGGAGGTAATGAGAATTCAGTTATTCACCAGCACGTTTAGAGACAAGTGTTAAAGACAATGACCAAGGGATGAAAGCTGAAATGGCAATAGAAGTGAGAGAGGCATCAAGCTGAGGAGACTAAGGCCTTGTTTACATTACCAAGTTTTGTCAACAAAATTTAGGGCACCACCCAAAAGTCAGCAAAAGAAAAATCACAAAAGCATCTTCACACTCGTTCCCTCTGCTGACAGATCATGTCCATATGGGAGGCACCATCCTCCACCTTATTAGCAATGCATTGTGGGTATGTATCCCTCAGTGCAGGGTTGCAGGAAGGCAGAGCTGATCACTGCAAATTTTGGGATTCCTTCTGAATTCTCCCGCCACCTCCTCAGCTGCCTGGAACAACACCATGAGTATCTCTGTGAGCAATCCATACCGAGGAATGTCAAAGCAGCATAACAATTTCTCCCCTCTCCCCCCAGTGCCCTTCAGCAGAAATCTGTTTGCCTCTGTGTTCATAGTGCAAGGCAGAACAGGAGTAGTCCAATGTTCCCCAAATGAAGCAGCACATTCAGCTGTCAGATATTTCCTGGAGTTTTGAAAGGGGAGGGGGTGAATGCCTGCAGTATCCACACTGTCTTTTTTTTTTTTCAACAGCAAATGAAGGGAGGAAAGTCTTTCAAAGGAGGGGAAGTTTTTTTTAATCACCAAGACTGGTTGGCTAGCCTGACAAAAGTCACGTTGCTGTGTGTACAAGTAATACCAACAGACAGAATTAAACCTGGGACATTTGGAACGTTGTTCATGAGCCTCTACGGCTTGAGCAATAAAGCCAGCTAGTTCTCAGCTAAGGCTGTAGAGAAAACTTACTGTTTCTTTCTATAAGTGGTTTCAGTGCCACTACATGGGACAGCGAACCGCACCCCGTAGATGTGTGGATTACAGACACGCTCCCTGTTTGGTTGCCAAAAGGCAGCTTTTGGCAACACAACTTGGCAGTGTAGACACCAGCCTAACCCACGTTACTACTTTAATAGAAAGACCAAAAAAGGAGGAAGTTGACAGAGCTGATTGGAATGTAGTTGTTACCTCAGAAGCTGGAAAAGTTGTTTAAGTCACTTGTTTGAACAGTGGAACAGAGAGAGAGAATCAGAGTCTTTTTACTGGAGCCAAGGTTGCTTGAGATGACTAATGGACCAGGTGCTTGCGCAAAGATGGAGTGGAGCTCTCAGCAGGTTAAGCACAGTGACAGATGGTGTTTCCTTGATAAAGCACAAGAGGAAGGAGGAACAATTGTTCATTTGACTGTACAGGAAGAAATCTTGGAGGAATCTCATAATTTTTCCATCTGTGGTTCAACAAATAAAAAAATCCATTCCTGGGGCAACTGCAAAGCTGTGGCATGGATGTTTATTAGCATGAGAAGCAAGAAACACCTTTGTTGGTTCATTGACCTATGCAAGATAGCGAACAACATTTGTCAACTATACAGAGATTTTTAAACAGACTTGCAGAAGTCTACTTCTGTTCATGGTAAGAAATATGACAAGCAATGGAATTGTAGCTTTCTAGAACTTCCTTTAAAAAGAACAGCAGTGTGGGAAATATATGCAAATTGCTTAATCCAAAGCTGATGGAAATCCCCTGGAGCCATTCTGTTTTTCTTCAGTGGGCTTTGGAGCAGATTCAACCTTTACATCACAATCCTATGACGTATCGAGGAAACTCTGAGATGTTCCCACCACATGGCATTGGACCAGGAATGGAGAAAGTACAGCAATAAAATGGCTGCTTTTGAGAGAAAACAAGACTTCCCAGCTGAATGATAACCTGCTGGCAGCGTGATAAAAAATTATGGTTGGTCAGGAGCACCATGAAGGAATCACTGAAGTACCTCGTAATGGAGGTAAGAGAGCAATCGACATGGTGAGAATGCATTGAAAATCACTGTGGGTTACAAAAGTAAAATTTACGGTCATAGTCAGTTTCTATTAAGAGAGAGTGTCCAAATGCCATGACTAATGATTAATATACAAGTGCCTGGCTTCTGTCTACATCACTCTGACCTGAGACTATAGTGGAGAATTAAAAAAAAAAAATACCGATCAGCGTGTATGTTTGTCATACATTAAAAATATGTGCAGGTTGGATGCAGCAGGGAATAAGGCTTGTTTTAGTTCTTGGTAAATATTAAATATGTAGATGCCAAGGTCAGTCTTACTAAACGAGATAAATAACTTGGCCTCACCAATAAACATCTGTTTTGTTGCCTGCCTGAAAGATCAGTTCTGGGGTCAATTACATGTAGTAGTTTGCTGCCTTCTTTGTAAAATAAAGTGTGTGAGGTGGCAAAAAGCTAGTAGCAGGGAGCTGTTACTGAACATGCTATAGCTGGAAACACTTAAGCCTGATAGTCTTACTGCCACTGGCAACAAGGAAAATAAAATACACTGGGGAGATGAAACAAAAATAATGAAGCAAATAAAACTAGGGTCCCATTCATCTGAATTTTCCTCAGTATTGCACGGCAATGGGCAATGATAGACAAGTCTTTTCAGAGCTGTTAATAACACTGAGGGGGAAAAAAATCTGCCAACGTCTTCCAGTTAATTCTTAGCAGATTGATTTATTTATATACCCAATTGGCCAATCAGACTGAAGAGCCCCTGTGAGGAAGAAGATACAAGTAAAGACAGTTGTGTGTGTGTTTAAGTACTGAAAACCCTCTGGATTTTACACCAGCAGGCCCATTTGGGTCAGGTGTGGGTAGGCTAAATTGAACTGAGTATTATTCCCAGCTGAGGAGGAAAGCGTTTGATAAGTAGCACTATGCTTGTAGCAAAATGCATGCCACCTGCTTCTATGAAGAAGACATATGTGTTCGAAAGCAATAGTGAAGCCCCCTGTGAATTGTCACTTGCTCTGGAAAATAAAAACATTGCAATGAAATGATGAGCTCCTGTTATCCTTTTTGTCGATTGTTAGGTGGAAACACTGAGTGACTTGTCCCTTTTCTGGATTATTGCTGGATTATTCTGGTTTGATTTATCACTAGTAGTTGTGTTAGTAGGTAGTAAGCCTCCTGTGTGACACACATTTAATCATTAATGCTTTCTCAGTTTTAAAATACCAGTAGCTCCGCAGTCACACTTGGTTTTCCTGAAGTTTATACTGAAGAGAGTAGTTTTTTAATAAAGAAAATCTCAAGGGCTGAAAGATTTTCAGTCTACAGGCAAGGTCATGCTGGCTGAACAACCTATCTGGCCTTCACTGGGAAGGAACTGTCATCACTACGAAGTGTGAAAAGTCCAGCTATTGGAACAGCCATTTAGTACTGTGGTATAATTTGTGTATGCAGGGTGTTTGTAAAATGAATAATCCTAAATCTGAAAGAACACTATGTAGAGCACAGGTATGGAATGCCTTTAAAAGACAAGTATTTCAGTGGCAAAGTCAAGCACTCAAACTTTTGGAAACGATAGCATTAAGGTTGCCCTGGCAACCATAAATCAGCCACTTTGTGCATATGCATTATGATACAGCCTTTAATTACATGGCTACCTACTATTTTTTCTGCAGGCTCTTTGCCTCAGTGAGATCCAGGATGGAAAATTCTCACTAAGGCCTGGTCTGCACTACATAGGCAGTAAATACATCAATTCCATCTGTGCTATCTAAAATTGCCATTCACACATCAGAACAAATGCTCCCATTGGATTCCCTTACTCCTTCTGAGTACTCCTTACTCCTAGTAAGAGTACCAGCATCAATAGGGGCACCTTTTGAGTTTGATCTAGCAGGACTATACCACACCTGCTAAATGGAACCCCAGAAGATCAACCACAATGGCATCCATCTTCCATGTAGTACAGATGAGCCCTAATTCAGGTAGCTAGTCAGTATTTTTTTATCCTCTTGATTCAATGAGACACATCTTACTGACTGCATACCATCCAAACCCTGCACTGAACTTGCAGTGAGCTTTTCTATGGTGTCATCTCTGCAACACCAGAGTGCTCGACTCCCCAAGAAATGAAAATGTATTATTCCCAGTTTAGAGAGGGAAAATGGGGAGGGGAAAAATTAAGGCAAACATTTGCACAATGGCCACTAATATTTGGTGCTGGACACCCATCTTGACTGCTAGGGCCTGATTTGCAGAGTATCTGAACATTTTGGAAGAGTTTATGCATTTAAAGCATTGCATAGCACAAATTGCATATCTTATTTTGAGTTTCAGGTGCTGTGTAGAAGCACCCTAAAGGAATTGGAATTGCTCTATGGAGTTAGGACAATTTACACCTAAAAGTATTTCTGTTTAAACATCACATGCAAAATTGTGGAATTGCTCAATGGTACATACATAGGGCACCAGAACTGATGTATTAGTTGTAACATGGTACAATCACTAAACACAGCTGTTTGATTTGTTCCTGATCATGGGGCTGTGATGACTCTGCCTGGCCTCTCCTTGAATATAGTCAGAATACTGCGATGGTTCACCTCAATTCCTCTAGATGGCACTAGCCACTGAGCGTAAGGGTAATCGTCCTTTGGTTAAAGTGGTGTCACACTTGGGGGTCATGTTGTAGAGGTAAAAGGATTAACTCCGTGTTTTCTAATGATGCCCTTGGTTTTCATGAAGATACAGACAAATAGGTGCTGTCTTCAGATAAGGTTCTCAAGGATGTGAATCCCAAGGAGGGAGAAGTCTCAGAGGGGTAAACCTGTTAGCCTGCAAAAACAATGAGGAGTCCTGAGGTACTTTAAAGACTAACAGGTTTATTTGGGCATAAGCTTCTAACAGGTTTATTTGGGCATAAGCTTCTGTGGGGAAAACATTTTGTAAGATGCGTGGAGCGGAAATTATTGAGGCAATTATATATTGTCAGGGTGGATGTGCCTCACTCGCTTGGTCTAAGAATTACGTTAAATGGAACAAACTGTATGTGATGAGGAGAGTCGTGAGTGGAGTTTGTCTAATGATTGAGCCAAATCAGCTGGGAGGAAGAATTTAATGAGAGAAAATGTGAATGATAATTGGGAATCATTTAAGAACACCTAACAAGATGCCCAAAGAGCTATAATCCTACCACTGAGGAAGAAGACTGTGAAGAAGGGAAATTGATAGTAATGAATATCAATCCAAAGGTTGGAGTTGTAGAAAATTAATAAGGGAAGCAAAGGGGCACGAAGAGAAGTCTATGGCCAGCAGCATTAAGGACACTAAAAAGGAGGGTTTTAAAAAATATAATAGAATTAAATGAATCCTGATAATGGCGTTGGTCCATTACTAGGTGGAAATGGCAGCATTATCAGTAATAATGCAGAAAAGGCAGAAGGATTCCTATAATATTTCTCTCCTGTCTTTGCAGAAAAACAGATGATCAAGTCTCATCATATCATGATGGGTACATTTTCCATTACACTAATGTCTCTGGAGGATGTTAAACAAAATCTACTAAAGCCTGACATTTTTGAATCAGCAAGTCCAAATAACTTGAATTGCAGAGTTTTGAAAGAGTTAGCTCAGGAGCTTGCTGAAACACTAATGTTGATTTCGGTAAGTCCAGGAACATTGGAAAAGTTACAGAAGATTGGAAGAAAGCCAGTGTTGTGACAGGTAATTATAAACCTGTCAGCCTGAAATCAATCCCGGGTGCAGGAAATAGCAGTAAGGTGCATCATAACAATGGATAATGTGGAGTCCTGTAGTACCTTAAAGACTAAGAAGTTGATTTGGGTGTAAGCTTTTGTGGGTAAAACCTACTTCATCAGATGCAGATACTGACTAAAACAATTACCTCTCTGAGGGTACGTCTACACAGCAGGGCTAACATCAAATTAAGCTACAGAACTTCAGCTACGTCAATTGCGTAGCTTAAGTCAAAATAGCTTATTCGGTTTTTGGTGCTGTCTACACTGCAGGAAGTCAAAGGAAGGACACACTTCCTTCAACTTCCCTTACTCCTTGTGAAATGAGGGTTACTATGAGTTGGAGTAAGAAGTCCTCCAGATAGATATTATTCCAAAATAAAGGCTTGTAGTCTAGACACACACTGGCTATGTCTAGACTGGCACGATTTTCCACAAATGCTTTTAATAGAAAAGTTTTTCTGTTAAAAGCATTTGCGGAAAAGAGCGTCTAGATTGGCATGGATGCTTTTCTGCAAAAGCACTTTTTTCGCAATCGGGGCTTTTTTGCGCAAAACAATACCACGTTGTCTACTCTGGCCCTCTTGCATTTGCTTAAGAGGGCTTTTGCCCGAACGGGAGCAGCATAGTATTTCCACAAGAACACTGACAATCTTACATGAGATCGTCAGTGTTTTTGCGGAAATTCAAGCGGCCAGTGTAGATAGCTGGCACGTTTTTCTGCAAAAGCGCCTGCTTTTGCGGAAAAACTTGCCAGTCTAGACGCAGCCACTATGTTATTTTGGAATAACATCCATTATTCTGAAATAATGCTGGTGTATAGATGTGCCCTGAGACATGGAATAATTCCGGCTCTATTATAGATGTGCCCTGAGACATGACATAAAGGAGTAAGGGGCCACATTATGTCGTCTTAGTCTTTCATACTCGTGTGCACCATGAACCCTCAGTTCTACCACTGAGAGATATTAATTTTCTTCTATCATCATCTGAATAATTTATGTCTTCAATAGCAGTCACCAATGCTTCATAGGAGTTAATCCCAAATCCATTGAAATTGATGGAATGGCTCCCACTGACTTTAATGGGATTTCAAGTTGAACAATCCTGATTTAAAAAAAAAATGTAAATGAGAAATGGTATAAATTATTGCCTAGATTCTTCCAAAATGTCATGAGTAGACAGGTGCAGTGGCGTGGTGAGAGGAGCAGGGGGGCAATTGCCCCTGGGGGCCACGCTAGAGGGGGGCAC